TTTTTTTTCCTAAATTTGCCCGGGAGATGGTCATACACATGTAAACGTGTAGCTGCTTAAAATGAAAGCGAAGAAGAAAAAACGATACGAGAAATGCTTAAATAATAAAAAAGATGCAAGGATAGAGAGCTGCGACTGCAAATTCCCCGCGCTGCATAGTAAAACTGGCAACGTTTCGGAAACACAAACCTCCCCTCTTGTTGTGATTGCACAAAACGGGGCGGTCGTCGTATTTTTTAGTTCCAACATCCTCGAGAGCGTAGATCATCAATGCTGGTTATGTCACAAAGTTGCATCAAAGTTTGATGAAGTGTTACTAACAACGCAATTGCATACTCTATCTTATCAATATCTTATCTACGATTCTTAAACATTAGGCTAAAGATATGAAAATTACAGGATCGTCTGTAACTCGGCTTTCATAACCCTTCTCGCCTTAGCCTTTTCCTATCTCCCATTACTAGCAGCTGAAAGTCTGGTAGGTTGGTGCCAAGCTCACACATTCAAGAACTATGTAAGCTTGATATCTGTATTGTTTAGCACCCTCACGTGACAGAAAAATAAAAATAAACATAAATATGTTCTACACAACAAATTGGGTCTATGCGCATCATTACTTTCACTGACTATTGCTCAATCTCAGTAAGTGAAGCGGATAGAAGATTCCTTTCCCTTTGGTACGCGTCTGCTTTATGATGAAAATAAGAATCAGTGAAATGTTCACACTTACCCTCAGAGTTGCCAATTCGCCTTGCTCTACTTTGATGGCATTATCGACAAATTGTTCCAGATTGAGATTATCTAATTCGTCGAGGGGTACGTTGAATTGATCGCCAAGATTTTTCACAAGGGCTTTCATTGATATCCTGAAAGGAATATCGCGCAACTTTAATGACCTTCTAACCTTCCATGTTACTTACTTCTTTCCTCCGAACCATACTTGTACATTAGCTACGTTTTCGACCTTTCTGCCAAAGTAATGCAGCTTTTTCAGCGTATCAGCTGCAATTTCGATAGCTATTGTTGTCAAAGCCAGTCCTATCGCACAGTATACGAGTGTGATTATCTTCAAAAAGTTGGTTATTAGAGGAGCAAGGAGCGGTGCTGCAACAATCGTACCAAATATGTGTCGCTTTGTGGGACCAAATCGCCCAAGCCTATCGTAGTAAGGGTTACAAAATTGAAGTAAACTGCCTAAAAATGAGAGTGAACGTCTTTTCTACAGTGATAATTTGCTACTAACCTCAAACATATCCATTTCGGGCTCGTATGCAGCTATAACTACAGAGCCAGCAATTATATACATCAAGAAGGCTATAAACAGCACAATGCCATCGGTCGTGTTGTCATCCTCTTCATCGAGTTCGGATTCAGCATCCGATGAAGCATCGTCATCTTCTGTCTTCGTCTGCAATGCATGCAGATTAAGTTTAGTTAGCAAATGTTGTATGGTGTGATTATGACTGCAAATAAAATATGAAAACCGATACAATTTTTATTGTTTCTTCGGAAGAATATTTCTTATCAAAAGAAAAGACAATACGTTTCGTTTTTGACTCACAATTTTGGAATTCTGAACTTCATGGTCCTTACTATTAGTCTGACCATAGAGCTATGACTGGGTTCATACTGAATCGGAAGTTCTGGAACTGTTCCAGGACAGTTCTCGCATTGTGCCGGAACTGTTCCGGAACTGTGCTGCATGCTCTGTAGCTGCCCGCATACGATTTTGAGTGGCGCGAAGTTGCAATTTTTGGTTTTCTTCAATGTTTCCATAGCACATTTTGCTCGTTTTCGCCTCATTCTTGTATCTTGCTTGCTTTCGTTTTAAAAAAGTTCCAAATTGGAGAGGGGTAAATGAGTGCTATTTCCTTATGTACACATGCTGAAGCTGTTACAAACTGATACCGCTTCCATCCGTGTACATTTCTCCTAGTCGGAATTGCTTCGTCAAAAGTGGAACGGACACAAGAACGAGCACAGTATCAGTTTCGAAAATAAGTGGGGCTGAAACGCCCAAAAACCAAGCTTATTTTCACATGAAAACAGTTCGCGATCTCCGCAATTGTGATAGTAGTAACAGTCCTCTCTGAAGACAACTCGTGATATCGAGAAGGCAGCGACATTCTGAAACACAAAGAGAATGTTTTGCAGAAAATTCAAGAAGGAGAAGGGACGCGCGAAAGAAAATTTTCATGAAAACCTGTTTTATACAGATGAAACATGGAAAATTTTCATTCTCGGAGGCTTCGAATTCGTGATTCTCGTCATCACAAGAAGAAACAACGTGCAAATGCGACGAAGATGGGGAAAATATAAAATCAAAATCGTTCAAAAAATCCAAAAGCTGCTACTTTGCGCCGCTCAAAACAGCATGCAGGCGGCTGCAGCGCATGCAGTACAGTTCCGGAACAGTTTAAGCACAGTGAGAGAACTGTGCTGGAACAGTTCCAGAACTTCCGACACAGTATGACCCAGCCTATCGTCGCCAACTATAGCTGCGATCACGATACTGTCCTATATCGTTGAAGATACAATTTTGTCAATTTCTCTCAGCTTATTCGTATATTCCGTTGTTGTACAAAAATCATAAGCCTAATTAGTTAATAGCACAGGAAGTGCTGGTCAGATATGTAGAAACAAGTTAAAGTGAACACTTTAACATTGGATCAATGTCCTAGCTTTAACTTGAATACGCAGGTTATCAAAGCTTATCACTTAACAATGACGTGGCGATAGAAGTTATCAAATGACGAAAAATATGTGGCAGTCCTTCCAAGTGTCTTTTGAAATAAGGTTTGTTATAAGGTATTTCTCCCTTAGAACTTAGGAACGACAAGCCTTCTAAGTCGTCAAGAAGCTGCCTATCAGCTCCCATCAAGAACTCCTCATATGCTCAAGAAGTCTTCTGAGCTTATCCACTCTATCATTAGAAGTGCATGTTATATCTCGTTCTTTCCGTCTCTCGAATAGGGTTTCATAACTCAAGTTTAAGGTATAAAACGAGGACCACTATGGCAACACAATCAATCTACACAAATTATCATTCTGCCATGCGTAAACCGTGGCAAATTATCTTACAAGTAACACTTCTTGGTTGCCAGAACACTGTTGACTTTGTAGCATTTTCTTAGACTTATAAGCAGGTATGCTTCACCGGCTAAACACAAATGAATTCTTCAGAACAGCCGCATACTATAATTACAAATTGTTGATGCAGACGCTTCCTATGATGTACAGAGTAACGGACAATCGCTGCAAAATTACTTCTTCGATGCAAAGCTCTAAATTTATTCAAACTGATTATGGAAGATGGAAATCACTCAACAACCATGAACTGACAGAAGGGAACACGCCAAGTTACGAACATCGACGTAATCACCTGGGATGAAATATCCATGGCTCCCAGGTTTTGGCTCTTGAAGCTGTAGATGTACTACTTGATGAATGCAAAACGATAATCAGTTTGGAGAATGCTGCTCTTTGGTGATGATTTCCGACAAATCTATCAGTTGTTGAGCATGACAAAGAGAGGTCGTTGAGTGCTGCGTCACTGTATCGTAGCCACTTTTCAGAGTGAGTCGTTCAGGTCAATATGAGATCTAGAGATGCAAACACGCTGGCACAAATTCCTTCTTAATTTAGGAAATGGACAAGCTAACCGACGAGGGCATTGCAAAATGACTTCCTGTGCTCAGTAAAACTAATCGCAGAAATTTTCGGTGATGTGATAGATTTTCAGGATGCGGCTTCTAAAAATGAACATGTAAAGAGGCTCATTGAGGAAGCGAAAGCGATGAAACAACTGCGCGCTGAAACTGCACGGATGAGCAGTATATAGGAGTGCGGACGAAGCAGTGCATCCGGAAGGTGCTTTTGAAAAGACGCTCCTCATAGAAAACCCAAACTGCTTGAGCCTTTAGGAATGTCGTTGCATGAACTGTGATTGAATAAAGGGGTCAGATGTGATGTTGCTGCGGAATCTAGACGTTGCTAACGGCTTGTGCAAGGAACTATGAGGTTACGGACACTAGGATGTTGCCTGCTCTATTGCTATTTCATATGCAGTGACCATGAAGATGAATTTGCCATTCCCAGGATTAATTATTGAGACGGAAATGTTCTTTTCGAAGGAGTGATGACAGTCTCTCATCGATATTGCTTTCGTGATGATCATGAACAAGTTGCTGGAACATTCTTTCGACAGAGTAGGGGTGTACCTCCAGAGGACGATGCAGACTTTTGTGTTCGCTCTCCTGCAGGTTTGAAGATGAACTGCTCAGACAAATGTGAAAGATGTTTGTGTACATGACAGAATGATACTCATTATCAACTTGCTTTTCTCAGAAGGGGATAAGCAATCTCCTGTGAAGGAAGTTCCTACTATCTACGATCCAAAAGAAGCATAAGCGTACCGAAGGAAGGCAGCGTATGCTTATGAAAGGGCTACAAAGTGCTATTATGCAATTATACAATTCAGTGGCCGTATTCATCATTGCTACCTGAGGTAAAATG